TAAAAGGCTTATCCGATCTGCTCTAGTATTTTTTAGAAGCCTAAAATCCATATAATTGAATTTTAGACTTTCTAGTTCTGCAGAAACCCTATATTGTCCAATATCCTCTCACAGTTTCTCAGTGTTTGTGCTTTAACAACGCTGCTCTCAGTTCACGTGTTGAGCGAGTTAAGACGTTCAGAAAATGATTTGAGGCCCACACAGAAGGACAAACCGACAATGGCGATGCTCTTACCACCTTCTCGCTGATCTTGGGTTTGCTGTTGATGATTCTCTCCTCGGCACCGATCAGACCGTCCAAACCAGACATGGCGGAGCCTGCGGGAGGCGAAGGAGCAAGGTGAACAACGGCAGAACAGCACAGAGCAACAAACAAACAAACAGGGATGGTGGTATTGATGGTGGGCAGCTGCAACACAGATATATTCAGCTTCTCCTCCTGACAACTGTCGCCTCAGTCTCCTGGTGACAACAAACCCCTTTCTTTCATCCAGCACAGTGTGAGCAGTGTGAATCCAACATGACACTGACCTTACATCTCCTACAAAGGCCCTCTCAAAACAGTGCTTTGCATAAAGCTGAGATTTTTCTGTAAACATCCAGTACGTGTGTTGACTCATTAAATGAAACCTCTTTGGGCAATTATGAGTCATCTTCCTCACGAAATTCTCCATCATCCCTTGAGGTTTTAACTGATGATCTTTAGAATAAAAAAAACTTGTGGGTTTAACCGAGCGGCTGAGAAAAACTGGGCCAGAGAGTCAAATATGCATGTTAGACTGATGGATCTGAAATAAGCACAGCATCTATTTATACACACACACTAGATATGCCATGAATAAATCAAGAACCATGAGGAGAGCGAGGGAGCGAGGGAGCGAGGCAGCGAGGGAGCGAGGGCAGGGTCATGAACAATGTTAAGCGGAGTCTGGTGTCGGCTTATTGTCTGCTGCCTCTGCTGCCAGTCAGCCACTGCCAAATGCTTAAGATTAGTACAATTGCCTTTGGATTGAGCGAGGAACAATGACGCGTGTTTACGAGCCTCACTCGGCAGAAGTGACGTTGGAAACTCTGGCAGGCGCTCGGATGGTACAGCAGGGTACACACAATGCTTCAGCCAGCCACAATGGGAGTGACCTCTAGTGGGATCAATGTGACCTCTCATCTGCATTGATTTGAAAAGTGCTAAACAAGTAGTCTTATTATTTGACGAGTCAATAGTCAGGAAATAAATGGAAAAATTCATCATAAAAGTCTTTTATCCAGCGTTGACAATGTTGTTTTCAATAACAGGAAATTAATTCTGTTCCCTGGAGGGACGGGTTGGTAATCAACGGATTTTGAAAACACTTGGAAAATCTTGATGGACATTTTCCACTATTCTTTGACAAAGTTTTGAAATGAATGGAGAAAACGATAATAGAATATAATAATAGAATATATATAAATTATTATTTATACCTGCAGCATGACTGTAGTTTCGACTGGTGAAATGGAAATGCAGAGGTTGAAGGAAAAACCGCCGGGGTGGAAAAAAATCAATATATAATTTAAATTCAGCCATCGGTGGAAGGTGTCTCTATCTCCCGAGTAAGATCACAAGGTTAAGCTCAGATCAGACAAAAGAGAAGACGTGACCTCGTCCAAGTGTCAGGTGGAAGAGGACAAATTGAGCCAATTTAATCTGGGCAGCGGGTCAGCGGTGGAAACACTGAGCTCAGACAGGATCACTAAATCACACCGGTCCAATCAGGAAGAGGGCAACTGATGAGGGGAATGTGTGTGTGTGTGTGTGTGTGTGTGTGTGTGTGTGATTTGTCGAAGTTTCTGAGGAAAAGATGACAGCGACTGATCGACTGAAAACTCTCAGAGAGAAAATCTGTCTGTGACATATCTCTACCACTGCACGTAGAAGCCACTGAACTTCACTATTCAGCCTGAGGTGATAATCCGAGTGTGATGAGAAGCATAAGAAGAACTGACACACAAGCACACCGTCAATGTGAGTCATCCAAAAAATAAAGTCGAAAATTAACCACCAGAAGGCGTCTGATAAAACAGAAATGGTGGAAGAGAGCTAGCTAGAGAGAGAGAGGGAGAGGGGTTCCCAAACTGCACCAGGAGGAAAGGAAAAGGAGAAGAATGGAACAAAACAGTAGATGGAAATGGCTCGGGGGATGAGAGGAGAGGGGAGCGAGGCAGAAAAACAAGATGCAACAGAGGCACCAACCTTTCTTGAAGGCACGTGGGGAGTCTGATAGATCGCCTTGGCATAAGAAATGAGCAACAGAAAAAAAAGAACAGAAAAGGGGAAGGGAAGAAGAGAGAAAACTTAAGTGAGAAGAGAAAGGCAGGATTATCAAGCTGTGTTATTTGATTAGGAAAAAGAGTCCAGCAGGGAGGATCCGAAAATAAATTTGAGAGATAACCAAACTGAAAAAAGGAGCCATTTCAGAATTGGCTGGCTCCGTCTGAGCCCTCTGGGGTGTTGGCATGTATATCAAATGTTCCACGGGGATCTACAAGTAATTTTCCTTCAATCAAGCTGGAAATGTTCCACTTTTTTTCTCTTCTTGAGGATTCAATCTTTTGTTCGGCACAAATGTGACAAAGAAGAGAACCATGACTGCTCATTTCTTTCCCCCCTAAGCTTTTGGCTCCAACTCTGCAACAGAGCCTGAGGCTTTGTGCATTTATCTGAACTTCACTGGTGCTGTGTTGAAGGCTCGGCCAGAGGGAACTGTGCAGCCACAGATAAGTCCAAACCAATGGCCCCACAGCACATTTTCACTGGCATGAGACACATTGTAAACCTATTCTTTCTCGCTGTGCAACCCTTCTGCTGTGCTTTGTCACCGGTGTCCTTCAGAACTGACTTATGTGTGAGGCTTATTGTTCCCCACGCAGCCTCAGTGTTGTTCACTGCGCTGCTTGTAACGGTGTCTGATGCTGCATCTGCTCACCCTCTGGCTCAGAGCGGGATCCCAAGGATGTGACCTGGAAGGGCCGGTAGGGTTTGCCCTCGGACACGGGCACTTCCACGCTCTCCTCTGACGACACGGTGACGTCTGGCTGTGATTCAGAGATGGATGACAGGAACTGGTCCATGTCGGCTTTCTGCTCCTGGAGAAGCTCGTCTGAGGAGAACGACAGAGAAAAGCCCCTTTTAGACAAAGATCCCACTGTAATGCGACTAAGACGACCCCTCATTATGACGTCTCTTTATTTATACTAAAACAAAAAAAACGCATATTGATGACCGACACAGACATCACTCTGGCTCTGTGTCCCTGTTCAGACCTAGTATTAACATTTGAGTGATACAATCACTACTGGTCAGTTTAAGTCCTGAATGCATCCTATATGTCGTGAGATCTGATCACCCTGCTCACATTTGGAGGTGGTCTGGGACACATGTGGCCACATTCTTTTCTCTGTGTGAATGTAAATGCTGCATTTAACAGTGATAAATAAAATGCATGTTTCTCCTCGCTCTTGCTGAGGGTTATGGGCAGAGGATGTCCTATCATGTTAAGAACCATTAAGCAAATTGTGATTTGCAGATATGGGCTGCAGAAAGAAAATTTGATTGATTGATTGGCTGACATGCGTCCTCTGACACCTGTGAAGGACTGCCTACTAAGCTGACGTCCTCTGACCTGCTACAGTTTCACAATCTATGAATCTACTGAATCTTTTCAGTGACCATATTCTGCTTTGTTCTTTGCCTCCACCACAACATCAACACTGATCACAACAGTGATACTTTTCTTAAATTGGTCAAAACTGTCTTCTTAGTGGAGCTGCATGAGATTCACTGCGCCTGTCGTGGCTCATCTCTCACACGCACAAATACACACAAACAGATGACATACATATTCATATGCATATGGAGCGGGGAAGTGAGATCCGATCACATGCGGTCATGGGAGACACATTCACGACGCATTTTATGACAGGTGTGAACAGAGGAACTTGGCGTTGTCCACATGTGATTGAATATTTCAGGACAGATGTTAATACCAGGTCTGAACAGGGACAACCTCCACAGGTGATAGAAAGACCAAACATTGCCACATTCTATGTTCGTACCATTAATGGAGAACATGCAACAGTCCCACATTGAACCGGCTGTGTAAAAGAGGCTTTTAAAACTGGCACATACTAACACCACTCATCCTGAGACGTGGCAGCAAAGTGCTCAGTGAGAGTTTCACCAAATATAACCAACAATCTTTTTTTCCAATAGCCTAGAGAGCTGCTGCTGCTGTAAGATACGCCCTCTCCCATTCCTGCTAACTACCAATTAGTACTTTTCTGAGAGCTATTTTCCATGTAAATCTGCACATCTCCCAACAGGATGCTGCATGGTGAAAGCTGTGACCCAGTTCTGTCACTGCACCCACTTTAATCTGTGCTGCACCACCATCATGGTGTGGTTCCTTTAATGAAGAAAAGGAAACAAAAGAAAATAATAAAAATGTGCCAGACGTTGAAGGTGTTAAATCGGGCCACTGGAGATGAACACATCCCCGGCTTTGGATCTAACATTAAAAATGAAAGCTGTTGAGACTCTTAAAAGGAGACAATGGTGGCTGTATTAAAATCCCCTCCACAAATTCATACTGAGGAGGAGACAATACTTCTCTCTCTGTCTCTGAAAATTTGTCAACTGGTCTTCTCCCATATTTGTGTTTCCCTGTGCACAAAAAGTTGTTTTGTCTGGTTGCAGCAGGACGAGGAAAAAACAATCATCTGAGGAAATGTGATGCATTGGCTTTATCTGTCTGGCACATGTGCAAATTCCATCCCTGTTTTCATTTCACTTCATTTTTATTAACGCACACTGTCCCTCCTCCTCCTCCTCCTCCGCGCTGCCTGGAGGCTTTCAAGTGAACACGACTCACCGATTTCATCCTGAATCTCCTCGGCCACATAAGGTACTTTGTAGAGCAGAGACAGACTCTGATTCATCCGCTCCTCAATCACACGCAGATGGGTCATCACCTGTTGGACAAAGACAAACAGGACGTCATGAAACCAAAAAAGTCATTATTATTATTACTATTTTCTAATAATTGCTGGAGATCTCTGATCTGCTGGTGGCCGGCAACTTGGCATCAAGCAAATGTAAAAAGATATATATATATATATATATATGACAAGCCATTAGTTTAATTTATTCATTTTAAATAAAGAAGAAAGTAAATAAAGTTTATTTAATAAACCACCTTTCCAAAACCAAAGTGCTTCACATAAGTAAAATAACAAAGGACAGTTGTAATACACAAAAATATATACAATAAAAAACAATAGAAATATATTAATTCAAACACTGCAATGCACATAGTGGGAATAAAGGGTTTTCAACAGATACTACAGAAAGATGTAAGTCCTGAAACCTTACACATGAGAGGCAGGATTTTTTGGGGATAAATTACTTGAAATGATAAATCATTCATTACAATTTTCCATTAACTGAATAATCATTTCAAGTCTAATCCAGTGCTGACGACTATGAGAAGAAAAATCTTCATCCCAACAGTATTTATATGAAAACTCACATCTAACCAACCAGAAAATATTCCTTTATCCTAGAAATCCCCGGGTAACGCCATTCTCGTGCTCATTGTCATTCAGGGAGGTTACAAGTTTTGTCACCTAATAGCATCGCAGATTACAGACTTGTGATTCCTCTTTTTATGGGAATCACACAGAGAGGCAGAAAAAACATGGTGGTGCAGTGAGGAGGAGATTTAATATTCATTCTCAGAAACTGGTATTAGCATGAAAAGAAGATTCAATCCTTCTAAAAAGGAAACGACAAAAGGCAACAAAGGGACAAAAGATGAAGAAGACGACTGGAATGTCCATCAATATAACACACCACCGCCAGGACCCAACAGTCCCATTAGATTCAGTCCAGCTGCACCAAATTTCACACTCATAGATATCAGTTCCCTAATTATGCCAGATTTTTTTTTTTTATCAACCTCCAAATATGGTTCCCTGGGAAAGAGTGGCCAGCCCGTTTATCCAGATCTGCTCCACTATTCAGAAGGCTTTGCCCTGACCCATGCCACATCCCTCCACCAAATATTGTGGTAATCTTTTGTGTAGTTTTTGCATAACCTTGCTTACCACACAAACTGAAAGTGGTGATAACATAAACTCTTTGGCTGAGGTAATAACACAATAAGAAGTAAAGTTCAAAAACTGCCAAGAGCGACGGATTCACCTGCAATTATTTGTGAAGGACAGATTTTAGTAAGATTAAATACACATGGGGTGCAAGCCCTTTGCACCCCATGTACTGAGGCATCTTCAGCGGGGGCAGGTTCGATTCTGGCTTGCGGCTCTTTGCCGTGTGTCACCCCCTTCCCCTTTCTCTCACACTTAATCTGGCCTGTTAAATGAAGGCAAAACATTTAATAAGCTGCAATTCATTTCAAAATCGAGGACAGACAGCAGACTGTTCTCTGCTCTGAATATAAGATGTATAAAGGGAGCGAGTTGCTCCTGTTCACAAATTTAAACTTGTCACAGAAATGGCAGAAATTCCTCCCGGTAGACAGCAAATTTTTCTCCAGATGAAATGAGACTCGCTCACAGCCAGTCAACCCCCAGACATGAAACAAGTTGCTGCATGTAATATTCAAATCAGAAGCTGAAGCTCTGAACCGACTCGACAGGATCGACTGCCTGTCAGTCCCAATGATCACCACTGTATCACAGAGTGGGTATAAAAAAAACCTCTCTCTTTTGATCAAATAGATTGTCAAAGTTCTTCCGTCATTTTCATGGTGTCTAGCAGAGATGTGACGCTGAGAGAGGACAAACATTTCCACATTTCTGTTGCCAAAGTGTTTGGCAGAATATAAAAAGCTACCAGCCACTGAAAAAGCTGACCGGCTCTTGGCAGGTAACCGGTGTTTAATTCCCACCATGATGGTTTACTTTTTTTAAATCTTAGGACACATGGCTGCAGTGCACCGGAGCCAGCGACAGATGGCAGTAATGCACCTTTCCCATTGAGAAGAAGGCTGCAGCCTCTGTGGCTCCTTCCTGTGCAATATAGACAAACAATCCTCAACTGCAGAGATTATAAATCCCACTGCTGGAATCTCGATTTAAATGCATCAAGCAGCCTCAACTTAACAGGTGAAGCCTTTATAAAAACAGAATTTCCTTGATCCCAGAAAGTCAGAGTTATATTAAGGACAAAACGGCAGACGATTGTTTTGCCAAATCCACAAGCAAGCTGTAAAAAAATGAAAAAAATGGTTTGACATTGCTGCAGGATTGAGTGAAGAAATGAGCAAGGACTTGACAAATAAAGACAGCGAAAGCACCACAACACAGATTCTCTGCTCATGACTCCGCAAAGGGGCTCAACAGCTCCCAAATTCATCTAAACAGCCACCCTCCGGTCCCTTTCGCCCTCCTCTACCTCCTCCCTGTGTTATTTCACCCATCTGCTGTGTTATCTGTGATGGTGCAGAATAACTGTAAATGGTGTCAAAGGGCACTGACACACACGGGCGGGTACATCTAACGGAGGAGCTTCTTCCAGCCAAATCCCCGTCCAGCGGCTCAGAGACCAGCATTACACAAGACCTGCGCAATTTTAATCTTTGGCTGAGGCTTAAGTGAATGAAACACCCCCCCCTCCCTCCCTCCCTCCCATCAGACAAGCCTACTCTCTCCTCCCGGGCTTCAACACACACTCTCTCCACCTCCTACGCACTTAGAAAACAGGACTGAGAGACTGAGACATCATTATCCTTCCCCGGTCAGAGCAGGAATAGGAGGAGTGCGAGATCTTGGAGTGGCTCAGCATGAGGTTTCAGATTCACTGCCTCTCATACAGAACATCTTTATTGTCAAAACTAGGCTGGGAAAGAGGCATCAATTAACAAAAATTAAATGTCCAGACCCGAAGGACGACACAGTTGGTTCACGATTAACTGTACAAATCTAAGATGAATGTGAAGATTTGTTGCTTTATGCTTTTTAACATTGCTGTAAGATGAATATGAGTAATGATTGGTTAATAAAACTGACCTGTGACTTCATTTGAGCAGCCTTCTCAGGATCCACAGCCAGGACGTGCTGGTAGTGTCGGATAGTGTGCTGACGGTCCTTGTTCTCCGCACGGACATAGCGTCTCAGGGCCTGCAGGATGCGGTGGGGCTAAGGGGGGGGGGGGGGCATGAAGTACGAAGTAATAAGTGATTAGTTGTGTCACATGGCAGCTTCACAACAAATTGTGTGATAGAAACTATTAGTATGATTTAGTGAAAAGTGCCAACATGTGATTTCTGCAGCAGAATATATGTCATGCCCTGTCTGTTGCTACTCTGGAAACAATCTCCAGTTGCCTTCTTTGAATGTGAAAGGCAAAGTCTGGAGAATGTTCAGACTCAGTTGTCCTGCAGTCTTCATTACTAAAGTGGAGATATAACAGAGAAATTATCTAACCCTCATCATCTTGACACAACTGAGCAAGGAGCAACAAGAACTTTGCAAGGGGCAAAATATTCACAACATCTGGCGTCACATAAATCATCATATCACATCACATAAAAACTTCTGCAGTACCTCATGAAATACAGTCATACTACAGATGATGCAATCCACAATTAAGAGCAGGAGATATAAAAGAGGGAACATACATTCGAAATGAGTTCAAAATAAATGTAGGAAAGTTATTCCCTTCTGGGTACCAAGTCCGAAACTAGGACTTTGAGTTAGGACCAAGAACAAGCAAACGGTGTGCAGGCTAAAGGATCAAAAGACAATTAAAATGAAAAGTAATTATATAAAAGAAACATGTCACAGGGATTATATCTGAGGGTTCAAATGTGATTGACTTTGTGATCAAACAGAAATGTGGTTTGTGGGTTTGCAGTAATCCATTCTCCTCATGATGAACTGCGAGCTGGCAGAGGGTCTTTTGACAGGATATGAGATTAGCTGCAGTCCATAAGTAGTGCGAGGCCAAGCAAGGTGAGATAGACACGTGTGTGTGTGTTAATGTGTTTGCACATGGACTGAGGAGAGAGAGAACACAACAGACAGATGGAGCGAGGTGAGGAGAGGATAAAAGACGCTCTGCTGCGTGGTGTTTACCCTGGGGGGGTCGGCCTGCAGTGCGGCCAGGTAGTTCTCCAGGGCCAGACGGCGCCGGTCATTCAGCATGGCCTCCACACGGGCGAGGTGAGTCTCCACCAGCTGCTGCTTCTCACTGGCTGCCTCCTCCTCCAGGGACTCCACCATGGCTTGGAAGTGCTGTACACACAATCATACACAAATATAAATATGTACATGCACTTTAAACAGTGCGAGAAAACAGCTCCTTCAGCACCTTCGTAACAAAACAGAGAAAAACAGGTCTTGATTTCAGTCAGGTCGCCTCTAAGACTTGTCAGAGGAGTTGGGGACTCATTTAGAAGTCTCCCCATTCAGACTTTGGGCTAATTTAGCCTCAGAGCGATAAAGATAGATAGAGTGTCTCACCTGGATCAGTGTCTGTCTCTCAGCCTTGGGCAGGTTCTTAGCCTGGCGATCAGCCTCCTCCCATTCCTTTCTTACCTGGAGTGTGTGAGACACAGAGGGAGACAAATGAAGCAGGATACAAAGTGCTATTTGGTTTCAGAGCCCTTAATGAAAAGAGTACATTTCCTTTGCCTATTGTGAATTAAATTGTTTATCATCTGGCATTATTTACAGCCATGCATTGTTTTGTAGTTTCTGGATCAAAAGCCTTTGCTTTAGATTTTGGTGAAATGTCTTTGTTCCAGAAACTAAGCACAATCCTCTTTGATTTTCTGGATTTGATGCTCATGTCATCATTTTGTAGCAGGAGTCTTACTTGCTGCCTCTTTAAATCAGGTAAGTAGTGTCCTGATTCGATCTACTCACTCACCCTCTCCATGCGATTGCGGTGCCTAATCTCCAGCTGCTCCTTGGCCCTCTGGAAGCGACTGTGCTCCTTGTCATCGGCTGGCGTCTCAAAGTAGATGTCCACATCATCAGTGGGCTGAGGAGTTGGGGGCACGACTGCAGATTCAGAGACAGATGGTGAGTGTGCATGGCTGCAAACTGACAACCAGGCAGGCTGACATGCACAGAAAGAGACAGACGGGCTTATCCAGTCCACTCACCACAGTTAGGCAGAGAAACGGAGAAAGACAGACAACAGGGCACAGAGAGAGGAGGAATAGAAAGTGGAATACAGGTTGAAGTTAGACAAAAATCCTCACAGAAGCACTCCCCTCATTGGCGTTCTTCCAACCTCCTGAACTCTGATAAATTTAAGGGAATCTGACAGTCTTTCCTTTTGAATTCTTTTCATCTTCCCATCGGCTTTCTGCTGACAGGCCGTGTTCCCAACACTAATGGAAATATCTCCGTGTTTGACGGCTGGGTCATCTGAGGTGGGGCCAGAGGGCTCAGTTCTGGCTCCCTTGCTATACAGTCACGCAGGGCTCACTCCCTGCGTCGCTGCAACTCGCAAAATCAACAATGCTCCAGGCTCACGAATGGAAAGAGACCTCATCGCTTCACCCCACCATCAACAACAGGACAGCAGCATGGGTGGATTAAAGGATAAAGATATATGTCCTCCTCTAAACTTTACTGCTTCAGCCCCGAAAATCATTTTATTTTTCGAACCAAAATCAAAAGAAAAATCCAATTGGTTATGGCCATGAACTGAGTTTAAACTGATGGAAGAAAGGTGCTTGTTGACATGTGCTGGCGGGGCTCTAGCAAATGCACTAGCAGTGCTCTGTGAGCAGACAGACACATGGACAGGCACACAGACAAAGTGGAAGCAGTAAACACTGACGGGCAAACAAAGATGACAGAAAACTGTTTGAAGTTAGCATGCATATTAATGAACAAATGGAAGAAAACAAATGAAACTGAAAAATGTATCTAGTAAAAGTCTTGTGTGTGTCTTGGAATAAGTGTAGTAGGACTCGGCACTGATTTTTTATTCTACTACTTTTGTTAAAAAACATACTTAAAAAATGACCTTTAATAAAATAAAGGCAAATTTCTCAAATGTCCAGTGTGATTTAAACGCAGGCAAACATGAAAGATTTAATGTCATCTTTCCATATTTGACACATTTCTA